GAACTCGTACAGCCGTTCCTCCGACGACAGATGCACCAAAGAAGAAACTAATTTGCACTCCGCCGAGGACGCGAACGACAGAGATGAAAACACTTATTCTCTTGTTTTTATGAGGATCCATGCATTTCACTAATAACGAATCTCGAATCCTCTACCGTGACCACCCATTTTTATTTTTTGCCCAATAATCGTGCCATCTTGTTTTTATTAAATTTTTAACCATGTATATACGAAGTTTGTTAATAGGAATAATTATAAGAAACAATAGATGAATCATTTTATTATATTAAAAAATGTTTCATACGAATTTCTTATTTGGTAGAATTTCTTGAATTTAGCAAATCATAATTCGTTCTTCAATGCTTCCTAATGAATCGAATCATTCAATTTTACGTTATTTCGCATGGCAATTCTATTCGCACTGCATACTTTTCGAATTAAATACATTTTTCATTGCCAGTTGTTATTAGGGGCATTAGACATAAATGCGACACGATTCATCATGAGAGTGATTCTAAGTATCGATAGGATGGCAGACAGTACGTGACAGTAGGGGTTAACTGAGTTACAGGGTCCACGTTTCTATCGATTTTCCCAGGCAGCGCAAGGGATGTTTTGTAATATGGCGGTATTGTCCGTTCGTGTACTACACGTGCTTTCAGGCACGACAAGCCTGATACAATTCTTGATTACCAATTTTCGATCGATTCAACAGCATTGTGTGTTGCATTATTATTGCAATTTCTGATTAGCATTTAATTTGACCATCATGTTTGATTATTAGTTACCACTGATTATTATTCAAATATTAACTACATTTTTTATGAAGGACTATTTGCATGATGGAATTGCGAGTTTCCAGTTTCCATCGAATTCCAGGAAAACACATTACGGTTAAGTAAGCAGATGAAGTTAAATATTATTTACGTCAAGTAGGGGAAAACTGTTGATCTAAGTGGTTATGTTCAATCCTGCTTACATTGGAAATGCGTAACTACTAATTTCCGGAATCCGGTTTCGGATCTCGAGCTTTGAATTGCCTTAGCGGTATTCGCTAATCAACTAGTTTCCGGTTTATGTGTGGATACACCTGGAATTAGTTAATTACTCGTAGTTGATCTTGAACAACGATTGATTCGACTATTAACCAACCAATCAAATTATACAATACTTCGTTCTATCGTTGACACTGCGAGATGCACTATGCAGTGTCAACAACCGTAATAGTTTACTATACAATTTTAAGTACATAATATCGTGGAGGGTTCACGGTAATCAGTGACTCGAATTAGACGTATCTGTCTTCGCCTGTTTAATGATTCCATCACGTCCAGATCGAACGTGTCGCAGACCTTATATCGCAAACAATGCACAGACTCAAGGAATGGAAGCGTGCAGCACATGTGCGCATACGATTAGAACTCGTACAGCCGTTCCTCCGACGACAGATGCACCAAAGAAGAAACTAATTTGCACTCCGCCGAGGACGCGAACGACAGAGATGAAAACACTTATTCTCTTGTTTTTATGAGGATCCATGCATTTCACTAATAACGAATCTCGAATCCTCTACCGTGACCACCCATTTTTATTTTTTGCCCAATAATCGTGCCATCTTGTTTTTATTAAATTTTTAACCATGTATATACGAAGTTTGTTAATAGGAATAATTATAAGAAACAATAGATGAATCATTTTATTATATTAAAAAATGTTTCATACGAATTTCTTATTTGGTAGAATTTCTTGAATTTAGCAAATCATAATTCGTTCTTCAATGCTTCCTAATGAATCGAATCATTCAATTTTACGTTATTTCGCATGGCAATTCTATTCGCACTGCATACTTTTCGAATTAAATACATTTTTCATTGCCAGTTGTTATTAGGGGCATTAGACATAAATGCGACACGATTCATCATGAGAGTGATTCTAAGTATCGATAGGATGGCAGACAGTACGTGACAGTAGGGGTTAACTGAGTTACAGGGTCCACGTTTCTATCGATTTTCCCAGGCAGCGCAAGGGATGTTTTGTAATATGGCGGTATTGTCCGTTCGTGTACTACACGTGCTTTCAGGCACGACAAGCCTGATACAATTCTTGATTACCAATTTTCGATCGATTCAACAGCATTGTGTGTCCACGCACTAATGTTAATGAGAATAATACTAAGCCGTCTCGTTCTATAGTATTTTACGTTTCTCGTTTCATCTTTATTCTCGTATAGATTCTTTATTTATATTATTCATAAGCAAAGAATTAAATATGTCAAAACACGTGAAAAACAAATCCTTTAGATTATAATCTTTTATTTTTGCATATCGATTCGTTGTACATGCGTTCGGTTAGTTTTATATATTTTATGCATTTTTAAAGATTTTTTACAAATTAGTAAACGTTCTCTATCAAATTTCCAAGATGAAAATGCGGGATTAGCTTTTGTACAGTACTCGAACGAGAAACAAGAGTATATGGAAACATTTCCTACACCATTCCGCCACACTAAGGAGCAGTAGGTACTATCCTGCATGGTTTATGCATCTCGCGAGCTACACCCGGAATGAGAGTATAACGTTACGGGAATGGCTCAATGTCGAGTAAGATATGAATCACGTCTGGCGAACGATTTAACGGTGCCGTATGTCAAAAGCGAACGCAACAATATTTGCGATCTAACTAACAGAAGTGGGTTTTGATTTCTCCTGATACGCGTCTCTCGTCTATCGGCCAATCTACGATCTTTTATCCGAACAAGCGTTATGATCGTCGATTATACGCGTCTTGCAATATATATATATGTACTCAATGTTTATGTAGCTACTTAAAATATTTAGTGTTTGAGTGCATCTACGTGACTGTTATTTGATATGTTACTTAACGTAAGTGCACTGTACCACGTTAAGAGAAAAAAAAATGTGATATGGAAAAGTAGAGAAGAGTGGAGCAACATTTTCTAGGAATTTCCGACGATTTTTTCCATACAACTACGGATATTTTGCTTTTGACACAACGTTATTGGAAATCTCAAATAAGTACTTTTCCAATAAACAAGGGTTATAAAAATTCCCAATAAAATAACCAATATTCAAGAATATAATGTTAGCATTGACTAAGAGGTTCGAATTACTAGCGAATTTTCATCGTCAGCAGTAGGAGGCAATCAGAAAGAGATCAGCTGGTAACAAAGTTTGCTTCCCCGCGTAATTACTATTCCTTTTGAATGGATCGGATGAATTCAATTGAAAAGGAATCTAACCACTGACGGCGTGGCGCTCGTCGAAAGCTCCGAGTTTCTTTAATCGGTCCTACGTGTCTCTATTTGTAACACACAGCTACCCTTCTTCAAGCTAGGTGCCCTTAGAGAAATTCAGGTCACAGTGCAGGGCAGTCCTCTATCTTGCTGTCCGCTATTTGCTCCGGACTGACCTGTCCCAGAAATATATAGTACTCCATCCATTAAATTGTCCGTGCTGCGACTACCACTGGCGATAGTTTGATGCTAGAACGACTAAGTGCCTCACGATACGCCCATTACGCCTTACTTTACCCGCGAGTGCAACAATTTTAAGTTCTACATTCTCTGGCATGATGGAGCTGAATACTTACGCGGAGAAAATAGTGAAAATTTGAAAGACTTAATATTATTGAGTTACACAATTTACAGATACCGATTAAATGAGATTAATCTTTTTAACTTAACGCAATGTCGTTGACATATAAGTTGAAGTAAATACATACACGACGCGAAGTATACAAATGAATGTAGGAATGTTACTTTTCTTTAGTATAATGAACCGAACCTCCTGCGTAGGAGAAATGGACGTATGTAGTTGAAACGTTAATGGACACTAATGACAAAGCGCAATGTTACCATCAATGATATATTACTGAACCATAAACGAGACCGATGATTCTACTCGTTGTAGATCATTTGTCTAGTTGCGACACACTATTTTTTCAATCAAACCAATAGAATTGTATAAAACATATTTAGAGTTATTTCCTTCTATTTATTTTCCATACCAGCTGAAATTTTGTTAGATTATTCATCTTTCCTGCATGAAAATGTTACGATGCAAAGAAAAACAGAGCGAGACAAGGTTACCAAACGATATGATTAAGTAGGTAAGTATTATGGTGATCAAAATCTTTGGCCTTCACTATAATAACAACGTTCTCGCGCAAAATATGAGCAGCTGAATGCTCAACCGTATGATTTCGCTACACGATGTGCATCATGCATGTCCTAGTAAAACATGTACAACTCATTCTACATAGACACAAATACTCGGATCACGAAATAATTACCCGGTTGCCGATAGTGTAACTCAAACGACCCGTTCGGAGAACTAATCGATAAATGACTTGACTCGCGTTCGAATCGTTCATCGATTATTTTGCAATTATTCAGTGATTCTCCTTAATAAGTACGTTGCTTTGGAAAACAAATATTGAAGAATTAATTTAACTCCGACATGATCGCTACATAAACGTACATTCCGATTGTCATAATAATATGTAATTTAGAAAGGAAAATTAAACGGATGCCAATAATGAGTTTCCTTCGTCTCTTCACTATCGAACAGAATGATATACAGGGTGGTCCACATAAAGAGATACAAACTGTTTTCTCTACTAACGATGTTTATCCGATTTTTTGCAAATCAGATAGTCAGCCTCGCTAACCCATTTAAATTTAGTACAAAAATCGGATAAATATCTCCAGTGGTTTCGCAGAAAACAGCTTGTAACACTTTACGCAGACCACCCTGTATATATAATTCAACGAAATCAAAAAACATTCAAGTAAATCGAAAAATATCGAAAATAATATATATATATATAATGATCGTATCTTGCAATTAGGAAACCATAAAAGAAAATATGAAAACAGAAAATATAAGAATTCCGGTCTATCCTTTTCCGAACTAATGAACGATCACACTTCGAATAGAACTCACAGACTCACCACATGAGATCTATGATGCTGATGATGCATTGTATGATGATTATGATGTCTCTTCTCCTTAGCGTGATGCTTATTATGATGCTTGTTGCCCCTGTGCGGCGGGTAAGTATGATAAAAGATGAGGTCGAAGCAAGGCTGGCGTCACCTGACCTCAGCCATCTCGCACTTCGACATTTCTATTTGCTGGTTGCTGGGATGATTCTGATGGCCTGGTACGGTCAGCTGGTTCGAACAATTGTGCAACTTTCTCGAGCCGTTGTTCGTCTGGTGTGCCGTGTTGTTCATCGGCTTCCCGTCGTTCTGCATTCCGGTATTTTCTAACGTCAGATCGTTTTGGTCCAAATCGACGGCGAACGTTATGCGGTGATGAGGTGGCATCACTTTCACGTTGCTGCCGATCGGCGTTACCGTTGTAGCTGGGTCCAGCTTCACAAGAGCTGCTTGCAACTCCAGAGCGTCCATGTTGCAGTCGAACAATCCAGCCTCGCGATCTTTAAAATCGATGAACGATGGGTAGGGAAAAAATGGTGGCTGGCGAACCGATCGATCTTTAAGTATAATCGCAGGGCCACTCAGTTCACTGACTTATCGCCCAGATATCGGTTGACGTTGACTAAGAACGCTACTTCTTTCATTTGAGGGAATCCACGTTTTCCCCCTTCTTAATCTTTATCTCGTCCCGGTTTCTACGAAACTGCGAGACTGTTCTCTTCTTTACGTAGATATCTCGAAGACAGCAACCGAATCACAGAATCGGAGCTCCACTTTCGAATTCTCGTTCGTCATACATCGAATCATCACACAAATATACCACGGCTTATAGTTCTCCGCAATGCGTCTGACTATTCTGTATTTCCTCGACCTAAACGTACCACTCTGGCAATATTGTCTTACATTAACTCACGATTTTTATATCACTTTTGATCTGCATTAAAAACCGTTTCCGGCCACCGATACTTATCTGTAAGAAACCGAACAGTGGTTTTACATGTTTTTCACATCAAAGCGAAAGAATCGATCCAAGCAGAGCAAAAATTTCGCTCGATACTTCGCTTTGCATCACGTGTCATCGATCGTCGACAATCTCACAACTTGTCCGAACATCTTCCCCTCCCGAACACTCTCGATCACAGGTTGCACGCGACTTGCACGCCTCAGGGCAAGTGGCATGACGGCCGAGATCCGCCTCGACTGTCGCGCGATTGCGATTCCGAGCAACGAGATCGCGTGAGACTGCATCGTAACGCCTTGTGGAACGATCATTTAGAAATTTTAACGACAAACACTGCGGTGTATTTCATTTGTCTAACGGCCGTTTCGAATCGAGCGCGCGGCACCGAAATGGACAAAGAAGATGCCCCGCTCGCATGGAATGAAAAGCCTATTAAGAATGCGAACCTTGGAGTTTAAGAATAATGAAACGCTACCGTCGTTAATATAATTATCGTCCTATTTGTTAATGAAAAGATTTTCTCCTTTTTGGTTTATTTCAAATGGATAACTGCGTTTGAAATGTCTTGACTGATCAATCAAGGGAGTCGTCCCAAACAAACGGCAGAGAAACTGAAAAGATGACTAGAAGCTTCGAAGCTGAATGGGATAATGCACTTTCTCTGTATGATTGATAATCTGAAACTGTTCTATGCTACGTGTCAACGAAAAAAATTTGATTAATCAAGCAAGCAACAGTACTTACTTTACACAGTGGCGAGTTGTCTCAAAATTCAATTTACTTCATTCATATAATCATTTTCTGAGTTGGTTTTATTTTTAGAAGATATACGTAGAGGAATGCGATTATTTGTAAAAGATGTATCAACAATATTTATAGTACAATGACGGAGGGATAAAAAGTGAAGAAAAAATTCGAAGACGGCATCGCATTACCGGTTTGGAACTGGAGAAGCCTAGCATGATTCATCTAGCCAGTGTGGTGAGGATGAAAGGTAGAAAAGCATGCAGAATAGTCTAGAAACGTCCTTTTGTCTTTAACGATCGTCTTTTCGTTAATATAGTAAAGATAGGTTGAAACATGAATCCCCTCTCCTAAACGTAGGCGGATCGAGTCTGCAACGCATTACGGAGATCGTGTACCGTTGAGAATAATCGGTATCCAAAGTACAAGTTCGTGAATCTACCAATCCCACACGTTTTATTAGTGTATTTAACCAAGTACAGATTTCCGATTTTGCATTGGTTAAAAGTACTTGAAATTATATATTGAAGAAGTATTCAGTTGAACATTCAAGTTTGTTACAGCTATACAGTCTCTATAAAATTTCCACGTCTCCTAAATATTAGTGTATTTTCTGATTGTGTTTTATAGCTATAATACCTGAGAACATAAAATTGATATAATTTCAAAACGGGCTTCTCACTTTCTTTCATATTTTGCAGATGAGTTTAAGAACAATTAAAAATGAGAAAAAGTACATTAAAAATTTTCCAAATTCAATGTTAAAATGAAGAAAAAATAATAATTAAACGACTTTCATGATCATTGAAAATTCTTTTCAGTCGCTCTATTCATTCTACCATTTTACACTTAAAATATATTTTTTAACGCGAGTAACAATATAGCTGCATGTTAAAATCACAAAATATACTAATATTTAAGACGTATAATTTTTTGCAGAGATTGTATAGCCATAATCTTAATGAACATTCATGGATCACAAATTTCAATGAAAATCATAATATAAATTTCAATGCACGCCACGAGGTGATAAGAACAGTATGAAAACAGATTTAGATAGGGAATCTTGTTTGATTCGAATTAATGTCGAAAAGCAATCGAAGTGTATAGCCGAGTGGAGTAAAGCGCGCAATGTTAAACGTCCCATTCGCTCGTTTTCCATAGGGATGTTTGACGTTTTCTTGGGGCGATCGCCAATTAAAAACGCCTATTCCACGGATTGCCTATTCGCAAACGAGCCGGTCACGGACAAATTTTATACCCCCTTTATGGAGCTTTATCTCGCTTTTATGTTCCGAACAGAAAAGACGGCGCTGGCATTCTTGAAAGGAATTCCAAGGGCATCGGTGTCTGGGCCTCGAAAGGATGGTCAACGCACCGCGATTTCCTTTGTGCGATTCAGACGCGTTTCTAAATCGTTTTTCATGAATCGTTCAGAGAGAGGAGCGAAAGAGTTTGCTTCTCGTCTCTCTGCGGGGACACGTAGGACGCCCACGAGGAATCCGCAACTATCAAGACATTGTAAGCGTCTGATGGAACACGTTATTCAAATGAAATTGATTTTCTTCACCTCTGGTGGGTAATGGGAAATCAAGATTGCTCGTATAAGTATTTTTTCGTAGGAGATTGATACCGAACCCCTATATATGTAGATGGTTTAAAACAATAAAAAATAACAGGCCTCTTTCGTTTGTTTTCTGTTTTATCAATTCAATTAATCTTACGATATCATTCATACACGTATAATCCATCGTACAGATAAATATGAGACTGGACTAATATCCAACAACAGTTTCACAGATTCTAAAAACACGTATGAGCCTGTCTCGTTTTTAATCGTGACTACCACAAAAACGAAAAGTTAAGCATTAATCATCGAGTTAACGCCCAGGGATCATAGATCACGCCTCTTCATTTTTAAACACGGTTAGCGACCGGGAAATAGAGAATCGCAGGATGTCCCGGATGACGAAGCCGAGTCGATCGTTAAAGGCGTACGAATCGAGTCGAGTGCCTCGAACAAAGGATCTTGAACTGGACAATGACGTGCCTCTCTCTTTCGATGACAATCTTTGGAGAGGAGAGAGCGAGAGGTAGGAGTAGCAAAGGGATCACGACGCAGTAGACGACTCTTTAACGGGCGTAATGACAAGTTCTTTCTCGGCTGTTGCATGACTGCCCGTGGCGAGGAGGTAATTAAAGGGCGTGGAAACTAGGTGGCTGTGCGTCTACCTCGGCTACCGGTATCATTTTTCTTCTTTCGGCACAGATACGATGAAAACTATGTACCAACTGCACCATGCGAACAAGATTAAATGCGGAAAAAAAGGAACTTGACACAATGGACCGATTTACATCAAATATGACCATTAATCTATTTGAAAATATGCACTTCAAAATAAAAGAAATTGCATCAGAATCGCATCGTTGTTGTTGAGATTTAAAGCTAGAGGCAGACAGACATACAGATCAAATTTATATCTCTCTTCTTTGCGTCGGAGTTAAAAAAGATACGCATGTAATATATCCGTAATGCTCAATCAGCTGGTAAGCGTAGTGAATTTTCATTTAATAGTGAGAAACCTAGGACAATAGACAAGAAGCTTTATATGTCGGAATTATAACGTTTATTATACTGAATAAATTAATAAAAAACACGTTCTTTGACATCCTTGTTATTCATAATATACTAAATACACACGTGTCTTTATTTCTATGCTATAAAGACGTTTTCTACCCTAAGGCTATTTAGGTATCTCCGTAAGATCTTGATGATCGTATGAGAACTAATTTCCACCCTCTGGACACACAAGCAGTAAAACTGAACCTACATATAAAGTCTCCGCATACCAACCTTCTAAGACCCCAATTTATTCCCTCAAACTAATCCGCAAACTTTGTCCCCAAACATTCTTCACATATCAATAAAACGAATTTGATTGAATTCGCAAATATCTATCTTTAATAATCACTCATATAATTATAAAAATAGCTGTATAATACTCCAATAGAATTCTCTAATCTTTAAAAATTACTTCTGCTTGTTACAATTTGAGATTGAAGATGCTTAATGTGCTGTAAACTACCGAATGACAATTGATTCACTGATAATTATAAGTTTATCATTGTTTATCAGCATTGACCCTGTGATTCGTAAAGCGATGGGCGTTAGAATGTTTTTCTACTGTTTCTACGAGGCTGACCATCGAAACAGCGGCGACCGAAAACGTAAAGATAACGTCGTACGCGATTCGGAGACGTTGATAAGGGATAGGCTGTGGGAACGACAGCCCGGGCGTAGATTAGGCTTTCGAGTAGGTCGAGAGAAAGAAATTGCACTATGAGGATAAGAAACGACACGAGAAAGTACAATTGGGGATAACGAATGATGACAGTCTTTGGTTTATTTCCTATGTTCTTGATACCGTTGTTCAGTAATCGCGTCATTCGTTACAAATACAGTAGTTCTTTGAATTCAGGAGATTCCAGACGGTATTAAATATAATTCGTTGATTGCGATAATACGAAAATACTTTGCTATAAGAAAGTACTTAGAGCAATTTAACATGGAAAATACGTGGGATGTAAAAAGATGAAAATTGACATAATTTATGACACGTCACTGTACTTATCAAATTCCATTATATTAAATCGTACAGCCTATCACATATGTACATTATCAGTCGTCAAAGTAGTTACTTATAAGAGTTATCAAACACAACTTACAAAAAGGCAATGAGTATGATATTACGGCGAGTACGTTTTCTGTGAGGAACAATAAATTCTCATAAAAACTTTTCCTTCGAGTTACGATCTAGACAAGCGAGCCGCCAGTTCCACTCGGGGCCATTAAAACAAATGCGCAGAGCCTATAACTATTCTCAGAGTATCAACGGAATAATTTCGAGCGTCGTATTCCCGAGCCCTCTTAAAGACCCGTTCGATCCGAACAAATTGAACAGCGTTCGCGGTCCAACGCTTCCGCGTGCGCGTACCGATAAAGTTATCCTGGAGCTCGGCGAATTATCGGAAATACGATGTCGTCGCCACCGTAAGTGCGTGTAAACGCGTGCGCGATTGTAAATCGCGGCCGACGTAACCATGCATTTTACTTACTCGCTACAACCGCGACAACACACGAAATGTACATCCCCGCAGGGATTTACGCTAAACACTTAGAGTCATATATTCTTTAGAAAGAAGATGACCCTAAGGAGAAAGTTGCCGGGGGAAGAATTAAGGAGAAAATGAAACGATATATTAAA